TTTGTCGAGCTGCAGGACCACAAGCCACTAGAAAAGGAAGCTGCAGCTCTGACACCACAAGAGGAAGCTGCTGCTGCAAAAGCAGCCTTGGAGTTGTACCGCACCAAGGAGGATTCTGAAAAAGACATCCTGCAGGTACGCAGTTTGTTGCAACGATTGAAACGCTTTCGCGGCTGTGTGTTTTGCTTTTGCCGACCCACTTCAAGGGGAATCATTTTCGCCACATCTTCGTGAACCTTTCGCCAACCTTTCGCCTGGCTATCCTGCCAATCCTCAAGTTACACTTAGAGCTACCACGCTGCTCGCCCTCATCCTAATCCTCATCCTCACCTCATCCTCATCATCCTCATCCAGATTGCTTCACCGCAACAAAGTCAAGTGGGATATGGTGGAGCTCTTTCACATCGCGGGCCACCGGAGGAGCTCTCATTCGAGCGTAGTCAGCAGTCATTTGTCGTCGTCGTAGTAGTAGTAGTAGTAGCAGTAGTGGTAGTAGTAGTAGTAGTCGTAGTCGTAGTCGTAGTAGTAGCAGTAGCAGTAGCAGTAGCAGTAGTAGTAGTAGTAGTAGTAGTAGTAGTAGTAGTAGTAGTGGGCAAAAGGACCCTCTTCCCCTCTGGGCTGGCCCAAAGATTGGGCGGTGCGAATCCCCCCTGGTCAATTCTCATTTTGAGAACGCATTTCACCTCCCAACTTCCAAGACCTATTTTGCACAGGAATTTCATTGCCTTTCACCCTGTCTTCACATCTGACCAACCAGATTCCGATCCTATGAATCCGATCCGAACAACACCCTGTTTTCACAGGCTTGTCATGGGCTTTTCATGTCCTTATCATTGCCTTTTCAAGCTTCCAGCTCCTGTTTTGCTAAATAATCGATTAAACCAATGCGTTACTAAAGAACTGGTTAAACTGGTGCGTTGACCCACCGGGTTTGGTCAGAACCTGTTTGCAAACGCAGGCTCAATCTCGAGTCAGAGAACTACACCGGGAGGAGGAGGCAAGGCAAGTTCAAGAGAAACAAGAAAAAAAGATATGCAGAAACTGAAGAGGTTGAAAGCTACTGAACTGGAAGAACACTCAGAGAGTGGGGGCAAATCTGTTGTGGCTCCAAAAGAAAGCAAGAGTGGAAATCATGGTGATCATGAGGGGGAAAAGCCGCCTGAGAACCCTCCCAAGAAAGCTCGGAAAACGGCCTTTGCGTCTCCTGAGCTGGAAGCGTTTTTCGCCTCGCCTGCAACGACTGCTACGGATGTGCAGAACCCAGGAATCAAGTTTGTATTGATTTGATTGACTTCTGAAGTGAACTCAGCAGACTCAGCTACTTGATCAACCAACAGAAGGTGCTGGCCAAGCTCGAGGACCTTGAGGGCCTTGTGATCCCAAAAAACCTGATGGAGTCTAACAAGAAGTCGTTCACTATCCAAGCGCCTGCCGACTTGGGGACGGCTATTAAGAGCATAGAGATCAGGTTCTGGCCGTATCTCAGAGCATTAACTTTCATCGTTGCAGTTTTTTCTTGAAGAAGGGCTTAGATTAGTTCTGCGCCGGGCTGAGACACAATGCTGGGTTCTATGTCAAGAAGGTTGTCCACAACAAAGACGACAAGGACATCAGCATCGACAAATCAGGTGGCTGTTCATTGTCAATGCGGAAGTACGGGATTGTCGATGGGTGGCTTGCCTGTGTTAAATATCAAGAAGAGAAAGGACAGCCAAAACATTTCTGCAATCCCTTCTGACCCACTTCACCCAGCAACCTCTTTCGCTAACCCTCTTGCCTAATCTGCAACCACTGCTTTCGCCACATCTTCGCTAACCTTTTGCTTGGATATCAGGAATCTTTGGATGACATGCTTTGTACTGAAAAGCTTTTCCCAACCAATTTGCAACATTTTCTGCACTTTTCTCCAAACAGTTTACTGTCAGGGTTTTTCTGTTCAATGTTAGCCAAGGTGGGCAAGGTCACGTCTCCTTGCGGGGTGGACAACCGTACCAAAGGCCGCATGAACTGTACTGTGCAGCTGTAGCCCCAGAAAAAGCAAAACGTGGCCTTGAGTTCAGACATGTGCCCATGCAAAACAAATGGCAATCAGTGTTGCAACAAGGAAACATGCATAAATGTTCAGCAAATGTTTGATAATTGCATGATTTTGCATGCTTTGCGTTTGAGAGAAAAGGCTGGCTCAAAGGGATCTTGGATATTTGCAAACTGGTTTGGAATGGGGTCAACGCCACACCCACTTCAACTCACCCGCAGCCAAGCTTCATGCTTGATTGCTCTAGGGGCTCCAATGGTACTGCCCGAAACCCAGACCAAGCCTTCGAAATCTCCAATTCTTTCGATGAAGCCTTAAGCTTCACCTCAGGCTACACGCAGTGGACTTCATTGTGCAGAACACGTGTCCAAACGCAGTCTCTTCACGTCGTGTCGTGGTCTCAGTGCTTTCTACTAGACTTACTAGGGTGCCTTGAAGACATGGATTCTGTTGGCCTCTCACTAAGAACATGAAAGTTTATGAAGTCTACAGTGGCACAAGCCGCATCCACCAAGCAGCACGTCTAAATCTCAGGTGAATCAAGAACAGTTCATGCATGTACAACCATAGAATTGAGTTTAGGTGAGCGGGGACTGATGAGGTGTGGCTTTTGTTGCTGGTGTTACAACACTATGTTGCCTTCTCATGATTTGCATTGGCCTTGCCAGTGACTACTACGACATTCTTCGCCGTCCATCTGAAAACAACATAGAAACTGTGCCCTCAACTCAGATCTTGAGAGTTTCTGGTGGAAGCTTGAGAGTTTCTGGTGGATAAACATTGTTGGTTTCCTAAGGCCAGGTTTCCTGGCCTGTTTGAAGGGAGTCCTCAGACTCCAGAGCGGATCCTTGTTGTGGCTTGGAGTTCCTTGCTCGCTCCTGATATTCATCTCTCTTGGAACAAGCCAACGAGGCATCGGAGGATATTCAATGTGGGGCAACACCTCACTAGAAAGTGTCCGCAAAAGCAATGTTCACCTGGCCAGAGCAGCCCTTTGCATACTCCTATGCATGGCACGCCAATGTTGGTGGACTGTGGAGCAGCCTGGGACATCAAGATTGCCTCGGATTCCATTCTATGAGGGCTTGCTCCAGGATGACTTGATCCCAACTATCCTCCAAAGGTTGTCTGGCTCTCAGGGGTTGTTGCATCATGCATCCATTTGCAACCCATGAGGCCATTGCTACTACTAGTAGGTGCCTTCAAGGTTGCTGGAGGTCCATATTGCTAGTAGGTCCATCGCTTGACCTGCTGGGTTGCAGCTGCAGTTGGATGGGAGCGTTCCCTGGGGCAATATCACCAAAGAGGACGATGATTTTTGGGACATGGTTAGGGCCTAAGTGTGGTGTTTGAAGTGTATTCAGTGCAATGCAATTGACCATAGACAATGTTTTTGTAAACAACACTAATTCCGAAAGGCCCGCAATCAACAAGTTTGCGAACAAGCTCACAAAGAAGCGTCGGCAAGCTCTCAAGGACAGGGCAGGGTAATCGAAGCACAGGACCGTCATGATTTTTCTAGGACTTGCAAGCAAAGCGTAAGATCCAGATTGTGAAGCGCAGTCGCAAGAATGGGAAAGTGTTGGCAGCTCAGTTCGCGTTCTCACATTTGCAAAACGTTTTGTCATACTAGCTATTCCTGAGGTCAGGTGGCAAGCACCTAAAGTCTACAGGTGCTTATCCAAAGCCATTTGCGCGACGTATAATCTCCGAGCACTTGAAGGTCAAACATGTCATGGCCTGAGTTGGGAAGTCTCAATGGTAGTTTCTTGGACATTTGTTGCTGTGTGAATGAGTTGGAAAAAGCTTGTCTCCTACCCAGCATTAAGGATATCCCAAATGGCAAGAAGTTGAACGCATCACAAGTGCAGAAGGCTGGTCACCTGGAGTCTTTGCAAACCACTCTCCCAGTTTTCAAACCACTAGCCAGGGCCCAGCTGTTGACTGGAACCATGCTGATCTGCGCGACCTAGAGATGTTTCTTGCGGACCGCATCCATGAAGGCACCTTCAAGCCTGTGCTCCCTTTTGTGCGGAAGTTTTCGTCATCGGGGGCATCTGGGGTTCGTGCCAATGCAAAGCAGAGGCAGTAGCTCCAAGCCACCTTGCAACATAGCATGGGGCAAGTCAACGCAGACAAAAGCTGTTTCGACAATTCTGGATTGAATGAGGAAATGTGTTTGCTGAACATGACTATTCCCAAGACTGTTCCCAGCAATCTATGCTCCAGTGCTTATACAAATTCATTTGTTGTGGTGGTCAGTGGTTCACTGAATGCACTGAATGCGTTTCATGGGGTGACTGGAACAAAAGCAGTCATTTGGTGCCCCTGCAGGCCACAGATTGCACCTGAAGTGTTGTTTGCAGCACTTGGCTAAAAACAGCAAAAACTAGCAAAAACCAATGACCGGGAAATGCCGGCCATTGATCGGGAAATGCCGGCCATTGTTGTAGAAATGCCGGCCAATGATCGGGAAAAACCACCAATGACCGGGAAATGGCAGGGCTTAGTGAAAATGCATCATTTGTAACATTTTGTGATGAAACCCAAGGATTTTGCAGAATGCTGGTCTTGTTTTTCATCAATTGGCTCCAAAGTGGTTTGAAGATCTCGTGGCCATACACAGGCTTGACCCCTAGATCCAAAAAGTGTGACTGTGTCCATTTCAAGCTAGTACTCCTCGCCTCAAACAAGGTGTGCATTGTTGTGCAGCATGGCTGAGCCCGCAGCTGCAGCTGGTTGGGCACTGATCTGGATCCTGCCAGTGCAATGCTATATTATATTTATTTATATAGCTGTCAGAGCTGTCAGAAACATTTCATGAGGACTCAACGCGGTTGTGGCGGAGACACAGGCAGAGTTCATCCTTTTTAACCTTTTTGTGATTTGAACCACCTAGCTGGCCACACTGTTTTCGCAGTCCTTTTAGTTTGTTAGCTGCTGTACAACTACATATATGTGGCAGGCGCAAACTCCATGTGGTGGAAGCTCAGCTGCGCCCACACCAGTTGAGCCACAAGAGAGAGAGAGAGAAGAAGGATAAGAAAGACAAAAAAGAGAAGAAGGACAAGAAAGACAAAGACAAGAAATCAAAGAAGGAAAAGAAACAGGACCGTCGTACTCCCACTCCAGAAAGTACACGTCTTCCATCACCGTTCATCCCGCCGCTGGAGTGTCCTGGGGCATCTTCACCATCGATCCAATCTGTGGAACCCAGCAATGGCCTTGATGAGGCCGGTATGGGCCCCAAGGCTGGTGAGATTGAGAAGGTAGATACGGGCAATATTTACCACAAGTATGCCTTGAACGCAGAGGCCCTTGCTGCATTGAACAGGAAGGCCACAGCTGATTTGTTGGCGGAGGGTTTGGGCCCAGCTGAAGTTGCTGATGGTACAGTTGGGGAAGTAGTTGAACTTTCTGACCATGTCAAGAAGCTGCGGCATGCACACCTCAACAAGTTTGGTCGAAGCTTGAAGAGTCCGATGCTCATCACTGTCGTCACCGTTTTTGTTGTTCCTGTTGTTAGGGGGTTGGACTGAAATTGAAACTCCCAAGGCAAATCCACCCCGGCTGAAATCAAAGTCCTGGCCCGCAATATCCGTGCAGGCCAGGGACATACAGGCTATAACAGTCACTTGCACCATTCCATGAATCATGCGTTTAAATGCTTATTCCATTTTTGCGGGTGAACGCAATATCTATTCTTGTCCATTGTGACTAGGAAAGGATTCCGCTGCATACAGTGACCTCTTGGAAGACTTCTTCAATTGCAGAGGACTGTTGAGGCAGGGCTGAGTCAATGTCTGAACACAACCATTTCTCACTGGGAGGAAAATGGGATGAGAGTCGCACAATGGATTCCTTGGCACACCGAACCCGCAAGAAGAGAAGCCTGAAGAGGACTTGGATGACCCTTAAGGATCTTGAGAAGAGGCTCCAACACAAACCATTCAACCAATATTGATATTGGGACATGTTGAGTAATTAAAGTCCAGTTTGTCTGAGCTCACTGCGGAATTTCAATGTGGTCAGGTTTGAAGCGGAGGATGACCCTGTTGGCCTTGCAGCTGCATTGTTCAGTGAAAAGGTCAGGGCTGGATTGTGGCGCTGGCGTCCGGAATTCCCCAATAACGAGGCCAGGTTATGCTTTGATTGTGAATGTCAACATGCAGGATACACACCACATGCACATCATGCACCGCACAAAGTTAGTATGTGCTGCCATATACATAAATATAACAACCAATGTAGCAATATAGTCGTGATCAGTGATACGATCATGACAACTCCTGCAGACTCAGCAGCTCCATTTTACTTTCTACATTGCTTCGGTGGTGTTGTGTCCAGGATTCGGCGTCGCTTTCGCCAACCCTTCCTAATACGGCTAGGTGTTTGCACAACCCAGTCACACTGGCAATCCTTGCACAAAACTTTCAATGCCCTCAAAGCCTTCTCATCGTCCGTCAAATAGGGGGTGATCTGGTCAAGCCAACACGATAGGCATAGGCAGTCCATGGGAGCATCCTCAAGCACTTCATGAAGCCTTCGGGCTGCCATTGCTGGGATGGCTATGCAGTAGAAATTTGATTCTTTCCCTATAATGTATGGCTTGGGCCCTGCTTTTCAAATACACACAAACACAAGTAGCAACCTTGAAACATTGGTGTTGAACACCTTGGCAGGCAATGCGCCAAGTCAAAGTCTACAACAGCGAGGATGAACTTTCTGAGTCCGAAGAGGAGCGCGAGGTCAAGACTTCCCATGTCAAGACTGACAGAGAGGCTGATGATGATGAGGATGATGGCTCTACCCTGCAGTGACTTGTCTGTTTTCCATGTGGCCTCCACCCTTTGTACTGAAAAGCTTTTCCCAACCAATTTGCAACATAGTCCATTCATGAACAATTCAGAGCCTTTCTCCAAACCTTTGGCCAAGCTTTCGATGGTCTCCACCCTAATAGCAAGGGTCTCCAACCTACTAGTGATGGCCTTGAATTCCAACCTACCAGCGATGACCTACAAACAACTGAGCGGTGTTGAAAACCCTCCGGAACTTTTATTAAGATTATTACAACCTTTCGCCAATCCCTTCTGACCCACTTCACCCAGCAACCTCTTTCGCTAACCCTCTTGCCTAATCTGCAACCACTGCTTTCGCCACATCTTCGCTAACCTCTTGCTTGGATATCAGGAATCTTTGGATGACATGCTTTGTACTGAAAAGCTTTTCCCAACCAATTTGCAACATAGTCCATTCATGAACAATTCAGAGCCTTTCTCCAAACCTTTGGCCAAGCTTTCGATGGTCTCCACCCTAATAGCAAGGGTCTCCAACCTACTAGTGATGGC